TGGGATCTCTGGGATCATCTATGGGATCTATGGGGTCACCCCTGGCACTCTCCAGGCTCCTGTGGGATTTTTTGGGGGGATCCTTTTAGGGGAATTTTGGGAACCCTCAAACCCCCACCACCACCCCCAGATCCCACAGAGGCCACGGGGGTCTCTATAGGGGCTGGGGGGGGCTCCTGGGGGGCTGGGGGGACCCTGTGAAGGAATTTTGGGGGTCTCTATAGGGGTTGGGGGGCTGAGGGGACCCTGTGAAGGAACTTTGGGGGTCTCTATAGGGGCTGGGGGGGGCTGTAGGGACCCACTGGGAGCTCTATAGGGCCTGTGGGGCCATGGGGGGGCTCTATAGGGGCTGGGGGTCCATAGGATCCTGAGGGGGGTTCTCAGGGGTCCCATCCCTGAACCCCCTTTTTGATCGCCCCCCACCCCATTGCAGTACGAGAGCCAAACGTCCTTCGGGTCCATGTACCCCACCCGCATCGAGGGGTGAGTGGGGAGGGGGCTGGGGGGCAGGGGGGCACCCTGGGGGGGCACCCTGGGGAGGAGGGGGGGCGTCCCAGCCCCCCTAAATCCTCCTGGGAAGGATATGGAGCACTTTGGGTGGGGGTCCCAGCCCCCCTAAAACCTCCTGGAAATGTGGGGGGAACAACCAAGGGAAGCATTTTTGGGGAGGGGGCGTCACCCTGGGGGTGGGCACCAGGGATGGAGCACCCAGGGTGGCACTTTGGGGACAAGGTGAGGGTCCCGGACCCCCTAAACCCTCCTGGAAATGGGGGGGGGGAGCACCCTGGGGGGGGTTCCAGCCCCCCTAAAACCTCCTGGAAATGTGGGGGGAGCACCCAGGGGAGGCTTTTTTGGGGAGGGGGCGTCACCCTGAGGAGGGGGCACCATGAGGGGAGATTTGGGGGGGGGGTTCGGGGGGTTGTGGCTGTTTTGGGGGGAGGGTCTCTCAGCCCTCTGTCCCCCCACCCCACCCCACCTGAGGACACCTGTCGTGTCCCCCCAGGGCCACCCGGCTCTTCTGTGACGTTTACAACCCCCAGAGCAAAACCTACTGCAAGAGGCTGCAGG